GACTTCGTGGAAAGCGAACGATCCTGGATCATTTGTGTGTGCCCCGAGCAGCGAGAATACCCGTCTCATACGTATACAGATGTTATACATATCTCTAAAAGATGGTGAATAGCGGGAGGTCTGCACCGGATCGGTCGATGACGATTTTGCGGTACAAGGGATCATTCCTCGGAACTCGTTGGCCACGACGAATTCGCAGAGCACGTTGGAGGAGCTCGAATATATTTTGAAGAAGTGTCTGCGGGAAGAATGCTATTGAGGTTCGAACATTCCTCGGAGTGTCATATGAATCTCCAAATCAAAGGCTTCCTTGACCGGCATCCATTTCGGGGGAGAGTGTCCGGACGCGACACTTGAAACGGTCGGCGAAACCGTCTGTGAATGGATTCTAGAAATATTTTGAATGTTCAACTTTCTTCTCCTCGAAAAGAAAACTTTCCAACTAAAGTCTCCATTCGAAGTGTTGGAAGGTTTGCGGAAAGTGTCACGTTACCGACTACTTCCCGGGAGATTAGAGTCCGCGCTTCAAAAAGTGATGTGAGAAAGCAACGTGGTCTTACATGTTGGACCGCGTCCGCGAACCAAGCAGATGAGAGTAAACAGCGACGGGAAGTCCCTCACTACATGCGATCGCTGTTTCAACCCATTCCGGGTCATTCCGAACCTGCACCCGGGAACTCGCGAGCGGGGACGCAAGCATGAAGTGGGTTAGGAGCTCCGCGGTGCTCCACTTCAAGCTTTGAACATGCTGTATTTTCAGGGAAATTAGCGACGGGGATCGCAAAGCCGCCGCCGCAGCGAGGAAAAAAACTATCTTACTCGCCCTCGGGTCTTGAAAATTGTAAGCCCAGACTTGAATTGACAGACCAGAGCTATTCAGCCGAAATTGAGAATTATAGTCTTCTCGTTTGAGCATAGAATTAAGCTCCGCCAGCGAGGACCTCCGGGCGGATATGGCAGGTGCAACAAACTTCTCTGGCGAACTCCAGGAGCTAGCGGCGCTGAGGGAGAAACTCGTAAGGGGTCTCTCCAGCCGAGGGCTCCCCGAATTTCCGCGCGTTTTAGTCCACTCAGCCGTTTGCGAGCAAAATCCGACAACTTCAAGCAAGAAAAACTTGTCGCTGCCGTTCCTGATACGCTCTGCGTCGAGCGATTGAAAAGCCCGTCATCGTACTGCGGAAACCGTACACATCGTCGGGGTCGTTGTAATCGTCGTCGGAGACCTAGAACGAGGATGAGGAGGTGAACGAGAGGAAGGAGAAGAGTGGCGACGACGGAGAGGCCCGATTCCGCACTCTGCCGTGACTGTCCCTTGCTTTCCGGCTCTCGCTCATTTGTATCCCAGTAATTGTGTTCGCCGACAGTAATGGCCCGATTTGTAAATGTTATGCGGGCACGATTAGTCCTTACGTTGCTACATGCCCGCGTTGATTTGCGTGGCCATATATGAATGTTGGCAGTGGCTGACTTGCGAGCTCGGGCGCCACCACCGTCTTCCAGGGAGCTCAAGTTGCCTCGAGCTATCGCAAGGCCACGGACCATCGGAAGCGTTTGACGCTCTCTGAGGAGTTGCTCCCTCTCTCTCCGGGCCCGCTGAACTGTTCCGGGACGGGATACTCCTCCCGGCTGAGTGAGTCGTCCTCGCATGGCGGACGCTCCCCTGCACGCCTCTTCGCTCACGCGCCCGACATCCATCTGTTATTTGATTACGCGTGCCCATGGCGCCGCGTCCATTTATTCGTTCGTCTCGAGCAGTGATTCATATGCGTATTGGAAATTAACATTCCGTCTCCCCTGACCACTCACAGTCCCCTCAACTGTTCCATCTGTCTCCGCACAAATCAATCCACTCGCTGCTTCAACTCAGGAATCGAGTATCGGTCCACGGAGTGCCACGCTGCCACCAATCCATCATGAATCCTCTAAACTCTAAACAGTAGCTGCTCGCAAACGGAGCATTACGGAAAAATACCCGGGCCTCCGGGGAGCGAGAGTGCGTATGACATCACTACTCACATACATTCGGAATGAGATTTTCCAAGGACGTTCTCAAGAAAGGTTTTCAACCTCTGTTTTCGCAAGCGGTACTGGACGCCTCGTCTCTTGTTGTGATAAGATGTTGACACCGGGAAGCGCACTGTTCAGCGGCAAAGGCCGAGTTGGCGGTCCGAGTATTGTCGGAACAAATCGTTGTCATTTAAAGTGATCTCTCGCCTCTCTTCATGGAGCCTCACGCAGCGTCTCTGCTGTTTTCCACACGAGATGTTTACGTCTGGAAATAGATACAATCACTTTATTTGATTTCTTTCTCGACTTCGATCAGTCATTTTTCCCCCTTTCGTACAGCGTTTCCGAAGCTCGTGCGAATTCATCGGAGCTTCATGGAACGCTTCGAGCAACTCAAGAAGTAGCAGAATTTGCTGGACCTTCCTTCTCCCCCTTCTCTTAACCTTGCTCAGGTGCAATGCATTCGGGGCTCTTCTTTGTGGGCCAAGTGCGGGTGTCTGCGATTAAATAAGTGGAGAATCTCGACCACGGGAAAACTCAACCTTGTTTCTTGCCTCTCCGGCGCGCTCGATTAGATTAACGAGATAATTGCTTGGATGCAGCGTGCGGCGAAGGTCGCGGAAACGAGACCAAACCAGTAAGAGCGAACTCGGAAGATGGAAAAATCATCTCGAGTCTGATTTTCATTCCGGTTGGTCGCGACTCGCGGAAGCGAACCGCACCGCTCACATCAGCAATGATCCGCAACATTGTACGACCAGTGCGGTCCATACGCTGACGGTGCGTCTCGCGAGTGCGAGAGCCCTCCAACGCGCAACGGATGCGACGGATCGAAGCAGTCCGACACGCCATCGTGACATGATGTCTCGGCCTTCGGAGGAGCTTTCGGACTTTAAATTCCGTCATACGTTCTCGAAGCGGTCTAGAAGAACTCCATGACGGTGTTGGAGCTAGAAATCTGGAAAAATCCATCTTTGATCTCGAACCAATGTCAACATCTAGGAAGGGCTTTGCGGCAACCGACGACAGAAACGTCGGAGAAAAGGGCGAGGAACGCCGGCTGAGTGGCTACGACTCAAAAGCCACGCTCTCTCTCCCCTCCGGCGTTATTACGGAAAAACCCTGCTCGAACATCCACAGCGTGGCTTTTTCCCATCCATTTCCCCCGTCGATCGAGCGCTCCCCTCTCCTCGGTGGAAACAAAAATCTTATATTCGAGATACCTAGTGTCCATTCGACCCCACGAGAACATTCGCGACCGCGATCGGATTCGATCAGCGAGTTCAATTGTAGGGCGAAGTAGTTGGAAAGCATACGTTTGCTTGTAATTTGATTCCGGTAGAGTGGCGCAGCTGAAAGCTCGAGGTTTCAAACTAGAGTCAGACGACGTGTCTCGTAATGGAGGCTCGCGCGAAGATAGAGCTGAAGACAGCTCCCCATGAGAACCGTGCACGACGGCACTCAGGCTCAATTATGAGTGGATTTATAGCGCCTGGAAATCCCACCGGCTCAGCGTAGAGGGATTAATCAGAATGTCGTTCCGATCGCAGTCGCTCAACCCGTGTTTTTCTAATCGAGCCGGATCGAGGGATGAGGACTTGAGACTCGGCTCAACGCGATGCGACCTGCGGAACCTTGAGACACCGATAGCTCAGAAGTCTCGTAAGCGAGATTGTCCGCGCCGACTCGAATTGGAGCAATGCGTCCCGTTCGTGAGTATTGGCGAGAAACCTCGTTCCACTGAATTTCGAATGGCGCTATTCTGTCTCGTCGGCGGCCGAAATCTGGATTAGCGTAAACGTGAGCGGATGGGATATACTAGAATACGAATCTTCACCGTTTAGCCCATGGAATGAAATCCGAGAAGGTTGTTTGGCTTTGCTTCAGAAACGAATCCGTGCGGCGACGTCGCTGCCGATTATATCGGGTCGCTAGGACAGCCTCGTTCGTAAGACGGTGTTGGCCAACTGACACCAAACGTTTGCGTTACAGATTTATTCTTATCCGATTCATTGCTCAATGAGGGAGAGTGAGAGGAATGAAATGCTTGTCGCCGAGGGATTTTAAGTTATCAACCAAAATCGCACAGAAAATTTCTCATGTCTTACTGTGCGCTGAAAGCAGGCTTTTCGAGCTATCGGATGTGAAAATCTGCAGCTTCGGTGATTCTATTGCCAAACTGCATCAAAATGAACACTCGCACATGCGGGAGCATCCCCGTGGGGCTTCGAAGACTCCCAAAAAGTACCTTATACAGCAAGGCCTCTGAATACCCAGACGCTTGAAGTGAAAACTTCTGGAAACTTCGTCCCCTAAACTCAGACAGCTGAGGATCGTAGAATGATTTTCAAGAGCCTCTCCGACGATGACGCAACCCGTGCGCAAACAGGTATCCGCGAGGATCTGCCAGCGGAGCATTCGATCGGTGATACCGTATCTCGTCGGAGTCTCCGCCTGGCATCATGGGAATGATTATTCCCGCAGTACATGAGCCGAAGCCTCAAGTGCGGAAACCCCGTCAACAAGACTTCTGCGGCTGGATGCGAATTCAGCCTCGGATACCTCCGAGGACCCCCGAGACAGGATTCGGCTGAGCGCGAGATGGTTCGACGTCCGGTTCGTCGTGGCCGTGGTCTATTTTGTTGTTATCATCGAACCCGCCGCTACTTCGTAGGATCGCGTTTCACTCTCCACAAGCACCAAACGGCCAGCCATGTGCTACTCTTGCTTGTCGGTCTAAGCGCCTGCTCGCCTGCTCATTTCTCACTGCACATGGTGGAAGAGAGGGGATCCCAAAGAGTCCGGAGAGCCACAAATACTCGGATTCAGAGCAGAAATCAAGCGCTGCTCTCAGCCGATCTCAAAAACAACAAACTTGATCGTATGTTCTCTGACGACGACACTGTGATTTGACGCATGTACGCAGTGACGTCGAACAAGTCGAACGCGGGACCGGCCGTGTCGTCGTGAACCGTCTAAGCGCCGAGGAGCTCAATTAGTGTAAAGTGTTGTGACCGTGAAACTCTGCGGATTCGGAAGATGATGGAATGATCGGAAGTCTGTGCTGGAGGAGTCGTTCGAGGAAATATTCTAGAGTGAGTGAAAGAAGACATTCGCGTCAAAAGCGGTGATTATTGATCGGTTTCGTTCGAGTGTTTCCGGCCGACTACTCTGATTCTTTAGAGTGCGTGAACATCGGGAAATCCGTGAATTTTCTCCCCACGCTTCCTGTTGTGCGCAGTCATTGACCGCGTGCGTCGAGTGACTTCATGGGAACGTCAGTACCTTGTTTTCAATCAGGATTTTAGCAGAAATAGATCGGCTCCACTTATTGTTCCGAACACTCAGCCCGAAAGGCATCGGCTCACTTGCTCGATCTGAGAGTGAGTATTGCTATCCGAATGGAGAAGAAAAGCGGCTCAATCGAATGGTATCGTTTGGGGGCGCACCCTGCGGGCTTCGACAACGTCGAAGGTCGAGCAGTGAAAACACTTTCTGGCGTGTCGGGACGAAACAAAAACACGAGAAGGAAAAATGAGCATCACGACAGATGAAAGCTCGGAAAGTCCAAATCGAACGTTCGCTCGTTACGGATCGATCCAATTGTTGAGCTGGCGTGGTCAGTGTCAGCGGAACGTTCCACTTAGAATACAGGCTGCCCAAGGAGTAGAGGAGTGTTATTGTGAAGAGTGGAGTCTCGCCGATGAAACAAAGAGTCCAATTACACAAATTAAACAAGGGCATTGAACGACCGCGGTTGTCTCCGTGTGGTTGATTTTGAATTTTCGGCCGCTCCACTCGTGAACTCTCGAAATGTTTATGTTTTTCACGCCGCGCTCGCTTTTCGCGTACACAGCCGGATTTTCCAATTTATTCTCGGCGCGTCGATGTTTCATTCGCGATAAACGACAGAAGCCAGCTCCGCGCTCTGCTCGCGGGCCCGAGTTCCCGATATAGTAGGTCGGCAATACATAACGGTCCCGTACTCGAGAAAAAAAACAGATCGTCCGTGGAGTTCATTCCCTCAACCGGCATCACGGATCGCGCGAAAAATCTGGCGGTGTTCGCCCTGACATTGGGAAGGACGTCAATCTATCGGCTTGGCGGAAAACCGGCCGTGGCGGTCGCGCCAACTGCGCGGAGCACTTTCGAACGAGCGAGCTCCTATCGACCGGTGTGATTCCGCTCACAGCTGAATCAGCCACTTGACTTCCCAATATTTGACAACGCTTGGGAAGAACGTCATAAAAATCGAATGGCTTATATTTTTATTTGCAATACGCGTAATCAGAAAAAAAACTGTAAAGTCCTCAAATTTGTTTCGGGTGAAGGTTCTCTGCACTGTTAACATCCTGCATCGGTCCCGCTCCCGGGTCAGGGGAATTTCAATTAGCAATTCGATTGTTTCAGGACCGAGAGTGGGTCAAGCGAGCGCATGACTGATTCGGGGCCACCCACCTGTCCCAGAGGACGCGGAGAGGATTGAAGGATCTGAGATTATTGCTTCCTCGTTCGAATCGAAATTTTGGGAATTTTCGAGCCGGATAAATGTAACTCGTCACATGCGAGAGCGGAGAAATATGCTCGCACCTCGCTGTCCTCATGCTTGATTCATTCGCTCGTAAGCGAACCTCCTCCTCCGCGCCTTGAATTACTGGCGTTGCGTACGAGACCGTGGAACTCCAGCGCGCGAGAGCTAAGCGCTTGAATGAATTCTCCCTAATCGTGGTGAATAATTAGAAGCGTAATTTGTGCATATTTTAGCAGTTGCTGCTCGCCGAGAGACTTAGCCAGGTGACTTTGTTTGAATCAATTTAGAAGCTTGATCGAGTAGTTGTTCCGACCTTGTTGTCAGGACTCCTCGCTTAGTTACTCCACACACGGGATGGGGCGCATAAACTGAGCGGATCTTCTTTCGGGAAATAAAACAAAGTGTCAATCCGTTCTGAGTCGATCTGAGGAGCGATCGAAGCGACAGTTTATCCCGAGACGGAAGAATTCCGGGATCCTATGCGAGGACATCGCTGATTCTTCGCAGTGGATTCAGCCTGAGGTTCTTCTGACCACCGACAATGCGTGTGGTTATTTCCGTCTCCATAAATTACCAGACATCAACATTTGTAGTTTGTTGCGTTCCTGTTCGATGCTGACAGCTCGCTGGGGTTTTTATGACGCTCAATGAGGCATTCGTCACTCGTACAGGAGCTCGACCTCGGTCCGCCATCTTCATTACTCGTTTATCTCAGCGATCATTCCACACAGAATCCGTTGCTTATCGCTTTCCTAGCCGATCGGGGCCGAGAAGGTAATAGCAGGACGAATAACAGAATGTTGTCACCCTTGCTCTTGATAATTCGCTCATCGAGGACATCAGTCGGTGGCCGACGTTGTGTCATCTGCATCCGTCAGCAGTTTTTTCATCGCGTTTGCCGTTTGCGCAACGGACATATACATTCGTGCATTCGATTAGCTCCCGACTTCGGTGATCGCCCGCAAACGGACGTTCCCATGAAGCCGTTTTATGCGCTTTTCGATGGTGCCGAATCCCCAGTGGAGGTTCCGTATCGGATTCGGGTGCAATTCGTGGGGAGAGGGGAGGGCGCCAGACCATCATGTGAGCTCCTGGGCAGAGATCGCGTCGGTCCCGATGCTGGAAAGGGTAATGATGTCAGCAGGAAAGCTGTCGGTTCGTCGAGGGCGGGATGCTGCGGGACTGCGATGCAATTACGAATGCAGGCAATTCGTTACTACAGCCGGCCGCTTCATTTGTAGACTTCTCCTTTTCCTTTTTGGTTCTGTATTCCCGAATGTTTTAGTAGTTCTCGCCCGGGTTCAGCCGGGAAGTAATCAAATAAGAGCGATTTCCCGCTTCCGTGGTACGCCAGCTACCGAGCTGTGGCAGCTGCTCAACACCAGCAAACCATACGATGCGGAGCTTCGCGCAGACTGGACTCGCGAAAAAACGCAGGCCTGGTAGACCGTTGTGTATTTGACCGGGATGCCGACCTCAACGCCGTGCCGAGTGAACTCAACGTGCCTTGTCGCTCCGCTAGCGAGCCTTTCGGGAGTAGGTAGTTTCCGAGAGCGTCTCACGTCTCAGAGCTAATTCCTCTGTTTGACTGTCATCGGTTGGCTTAGCTGACAACTCGGGATCCAGGAACTTTTTCTGATACTCTGCCGATTCGAATTATTATTGGTCAGTCCAAGGTACGACGTGCTCGAATCGGCTCTGTCCACCGCTCTCGCGCCCGCGGTTCGTGTCAAGTATCAGCTCATCGCGAATGTTTAGAATTGCCACAATCCGATACGATCAGCGTATACTTCATTATACGGTGAGGAGCGGAAGTGGTGAGAGGAGCTGACAAACTCAGCGTTCGGCGTCGAAGTCCGAAAGCCGACGCTTATTGAACGATTCGAATATAGGACTGCTCGAGTCAAGTCAATTTGTGAGAGTACATCCGTAGACGTTTCGCGAGGAATGGAATTAGATTCTTTTTCGGGAACGCTCCGATCATCCACCCGTGAGGAATCATGCCAACAAATCTTCGACATGTACCGTGATTCCTGCGCGGCATTCATACAAATTTGGCTCAAGATCGTTAACATCGTGCGAGCGGTATCGTGGTACAATTATTCACGAAACTAACCTTTCCAAGCAACCCATTCGGCCGGTAGCTCGCGGCTTCTGACTTGTAAGACTTCTATGTATCATGTAATAACGCTGACTGCCCTTTATCTAATCGTTGGTTCTATTCTTTCGGCGTGGGCATCGAATGCACCTTTCTCACGGTGTCGTTCTTCGGGTTTTTTTTCGTTTCAAGGGCTGGTCAGTCGTTCGCTCGCTTTTCCGCTGTTGCTTCCATTGCATTCAGGACTGTCGTCGGCTTACGCGTCCGCTCGGAAAAACCTCACAACAGGTGTCGCTCCGGTCAAAAGGAAACAAAGATATCCGGCGTATGCTTTCTCCGTCATCGGAACGCGCGGAAGTGTTTCCTGAAAAGCATAGGCTTCGGCTAGCGATAGCGACGAGCCTCTCGCGAAAGCCATCCGCGGAGAAAGAACCCACCACAATCGCACAAGGCGGGCGACAATTAAGATGCTCATTGTTCCGGTCGCTGGTCTGGCGGAGCGCTCCTTCGACTTCGAGTGGTCAGAACTGTTATACGACATCTTCGTCGGTTTTGTCGAGAGCCCTCCAGACAAGTGCAATCGCCTGCCATATCTGAACATCATCGACGGACGGCGGCTCGACGGAGACTTCCGGTATTGTCTTCTGTGCGTGACGTAGATTGTCGACTTGGAGTGCGGCTAACCGTCTACGGCGGCGGCCGTTGTCTCTACTGGCCGTTGAGCTGCACCAGCGCGAGCGACAGAATCGACGCCGACGGTGCGACCGCAAATATCACCGCAAAAGCGTCAAAGTCTATGTTTGGATGGGGGAATCAAGGTCAAAGTAAACCACAAGTATCCATCCAAACCCTAGAAATGAAAAAAAAGAGGAGGAGAATATTCTGGGCTGCTTTTTTTGTCCCCACGTAAACCTGCCCCATCGAAGGATTCTGGCTTTTCGCCACTGGTTGGACACGATTCGTTGTTTGGTCGACGGCGTTTTTGAGATGATTCGACATTTCAACGAAACATCGAAGTCCCGACGTTGTGCTGCGAACGGAAGCTGCCTTCCGTCGCCGTTTTCCAATGCTCCTCATCTTCAGAGTCGTTCTGATGAGAGCTGAATCTGATTGACATCTGAGCTGCGCTCGTGGAAAATGGGGGATTCCCCGACGCACTCCGAACTCCGGGGACCGATCCTGCGCAGCTGTGTCGTCAGTCATTACGGAGCAGCAGAAAGAGGGTGACGGACGGCGTCTTGGGGCTCGGGGAGGATTATCCGAATATCAGTTCCGAAGTTCGGTGCCCCACTTATGATCTCATTTTCATTTAGGGAGGCGAATGGACGAGCTCCATCAAACCTTCGATTTACTTTTGAGCCGCATCCCGTGAGCTCCAGAAGTTCCACTGAAGTCGATCGAGATCGTATGTTCAGCCCTTCGGAGCCGCATCCGAAAGCATTCAGCGACGCTAAGCGTGAACACTA